CCGAATTTTTATTCTGTCATTAAAGAATTTTCATAACTTTAGTAACCTCTTCACTTTTGATATGAGATTTGCATGCAGAAAAAAACAGACGGTCATTTGTCTGATATTCTAAACGTGTATAGAGGGCTTTACTCATTTTCCACCCCCAGTGTCAGCTAGCGTCAGATTGGTCGCTGCACTATCACAGTCCTTTTATAAGTCACTGATCACCGCCATTAATAGTATGAAAAAAAAATTCCAATATATATACCATAGTTTGTAGGCGCTGTAACTTTAACACAAACTAATCAATATACACTTATTGGGATTTTATTTTTATCAATGTATGTAGCAGAATGCATTTTGACCTACATTTCTGAAGAAATTGGATTTTTTTTCATTGGATATGTTTTTATAGCAGAAAGTAAAACAAATTTTTTTTTCTAAATTTTTTTATATTGCAAAAAAATAAAAAAACCCAGTGGTGATCAAATACCATCAAAAGACAGCTGTATTTGTGTAAAAAAAAATAATATACATTTTGTTTGGGTACAACTTTGCATGACAACGCACAATTACCAGTTAAAATAGTGCAGTGTAGTATAGCAACAAATAGCCAGGTCATGAAGAGGGTAAAATCTTCTGGAGCTCAAGTGATTAATCTACACTCATTTACCATAATGACAAAGTAAAACAGAATTTTAAAATGTCTGTGAATTTGTTGAAGTAAAAAACCCTGAAATATCACATACTTAAATATCATACTTAAATATTCAGACCCTTTACTTTGGCAGCAATTACAGACTCAAGTCTTTTTGGGTAGGACGTGGCAAGCTTTGCACACCTTGATTGGGGGATTTGCTGCCATTCTTCTCTGCAAAGCTCAGTCAAGTTGGATAGGGACCATCAGTGGACAGCCATTTTCAGGTTTCTCCTGATATTTATTACAGGTACTTCTATAGAGCTGTAAATTTACTCAGTGCTTTACATGGATATATATATATATATATATATATATATATTCTACATTTGCATCAGTCCCTAACCCTCAAGGAGCATACAATCTAAGGTCCCACATTCATACATACTAGGGCAGGTGGTGCCATGGTTGGGATTCAAACCAATAACCCTAGTACTGCCAGGTGGAAGTACTAACCATTTAGCCAATATGCTGCCATATGTTCAATTGGAATCAGGGCTCTGGCTGAGCCATTCTAGGTTATTCACAGAGCTTTCCCTAAGCCACTCCTGTGTTGCCTTGGTTGTGTGCTTAGGATCGTTGTCATGTTGGATATCTCTGTACTTTGCTCCATTCAGAATTCCCTCAACCTTGGCCAATCTCCCGGTCCCTGCTGGTAAAAAAAACACCCCCACAGCATCATGCTGTTTGGATGGCATTGGGCAGGTGATGAGCGGTGCCAAATTTCCTCCTGTCATAAAATTTAGAATTGAGGCTAAACAGTTCAGTCTTGGTTTCTTCAGACCAGGGAATATTGTTCCTTACAGTCTGAGAGTCCTTCAGGTGTTTTTTTGCAAACTCCGAGCAGGCTTTCATGTGTTTTGCACTGAGGAGAGGCTTTGGTGGGCTGCAGTGTTGGTTGTTCTTCTGGAACTTTGTCCCATCTGCACACAGGATCTCTGGAACTCAGCCAGAGTGGCCTTCCTGTTCTTTGTCACCTTTCTTACTAAGGCCCTTCTTCCCCAGATTGTTCGATTTGTCCAGGTGACCAACTCTTGGAAGAGGCCTGGATGTGCCTTCAGTGCAACAGAATTTTTATTTTGCAGCTTTCCCCAGATATGTGTCTTATAATGCTATATAGTGTATATAATATATATAGTGCAATAATCCTGCCTCCGAGCTCTGCAGGCAGTTCCTTTGGCTTTTGCTCTGATACAGTATGCATTGTCAGCTGTGAGGCCTTTTATAGAAAGGTGTGTGCTTTTCCAAATCATGTCCAATCAATTTAATTTACCACAGGTGGACTCAAATCAAGGTGTAGAAACAGGATAGACAAACACAGGTTCACATTATTACAGTAAACACATACGATTACACATAACAGCAGGAGACCCCAGCATCAGGTTGTTTGAGCCGATTTTAATCTTCCGCTTTGAGTCTAGGAGGGTGTTGAAATAGTCAGTGCTGGTTTGGGTTGTTGATTCTATACCCCAACAAAACACAGATACCCCAAATCTGTATCCAGTTTCTCCAGTCCTCAGAGTGTGTTTCGGGAAGACATAAACTTGAATTCAAAGTAAAACTACTCCAAAGGTCCCCCAGGCCACAAGCCTTCCAAAGAGTAGAGCCCCTCAAACACCAGGGCCCATAATCAATGGGCAAAAGGCTGGCCTTCAGTCCCCTTTAAATGTCCCGTCCCAGTTGGGTCTGTCATATCCCTACTGTATTGCTCACTGTTCACTTTCCTGGAAGTCAGTAATATGGAAAAGTTAAGCTAGTGACTACTTATTTGCCCTCTTTGGGTTTTTTTTGGACACAATTTCCAGAGTTACCTAGTTACATAGTTGGTAAGATTGAATAAAGATACTGGTCCATCCATCTAAAACCTGTGTGTGTCACTACTCTTTTCCATATCTCTGTACATTGTGTTCACTAAGAAACACATCTAAACGTTTTTTGAATTTATCTACATTCTCTCCTAACATCATCAACTGTGGAAGGGAGTTCCACATCCTTACAGCTCTAACAGTAAAACACGCCTTACACAGTTTAGGACTGAACCGTCTCTCATTCAAATTTGTTTTGTGGCCACGTGTCTTCTTTAAAGAACTTAAGATGAATAGTTTCCTTCCAATTCTAGAGTCACCATTTAAAGATTTGTATATTATGATATATCCCTTCGTCAGCACATCTTCTGTGGGAATAATACTTTTAATGCTTGTAGTCTTTCCTCATAACTGAGATCCTTCAGCCCCATTGTTAGCTTTGTTGTCTTTCTCTGGATTCTCTCCAGTTCCAGCACATCCTTCCTGAGATCTGGTGACCAGAACTGGTGGAATACTCAAGATGTGGCTGAGCCAGAGTTTTGTGAAGTGGTAGAATTATGTCTTTATCTCTTGAGTAAATACCTTCTTGAGTAAGAGTGAATAATAGTGTGCTAGCCTTGCTTGCTGCAACTTGGCATTGCATGCTATTGCTGAGTCTGTGATCTACTAGGACCTCCAAATCCGTTCCATCCTCAATTCCCCTAGAGCAGGGGTGTCAAACTGGCGGCCCCCCAGCTGATACAAAACTACAAGTCCCATGATGCCTCTGCCTTTGGGAGTCATGCTTGTAACTGTCAATCTTGCAATGCCGCATGGGATTTGTAGTTTTGCAAAAGCTGGAGGGCCACCAGTTTGACACCCGTGCCCTAGAGGTTTTCCCCCTAGCAAGTAACGTTCAGTCATATTTTTAACCCCAAGTGCATTACTTTACATCTTTCTACATTAAACCTCATCTGCCATTTAGCTGCCAGACCCTCTATTTTAAGTAGGTCTTCAGTTCCTCTTGAAGAACCCCTAGTTTCTAATACATTTAGAGGAGTCATGTATCTTCATTCCAAATTGTTAAAATAGGAGCAGTTTTCTTATATTACTTCTTTAAATTTTGCTGTACTATGTGTTATACTGGTACATGAGAACACTGCCTCTGCTACCTGGCATAAAAGATGTATGACCATAGTAGAGAATAGGGTTACACATGTCCCCAGACAGTTTGTTTGGTGATTTAGAAATCTGACGATTGAGCAGATCTATTAAAATGAGTTTCTTGGTGCCCACCATCATTTTCTTTATATCTTTTTTTAAATTCTTGCTGCATTTTTAAAATAGTTCCCTTATAATGCTGGTTCCTGTCCCGTACCGCTAAGCATTCTAGCATGCCTTATAGACTGTTCTCACAAGCGTTAGGTTACATTGATTTATGTGGCTCAATCCTATTGAGTCCATTTTACTTGTGTCTTTGTTCCTGGAATGGAAATCCTTCTCTGAGCTTTATCCATTGATGACAAATAACTGAATATATTCCTGTGCTTACAGGGGCTCAGGAGGTCCACGGTCCACACCACTCTCTTATAAATTGATTAGTAAGGCTTGGAATAAGATCTTTAAAAGTGCATTAAATTCCTAAATGGATTTGACAGACTTGAACCGTGTTTAGTTTACACAAGTCCCCTTTACAGCATTCTGGTTTTCCTGAAAAATTTACTTTTAATCTATCTTCAGTTACTTTAAAGCCTCATTCTGGGCAAAAACTTATTTTTTTTTTTTTTTACTACAACCACTAACCCACTCTTTTAGGGCTCACTACACTAATAGTTGAGAGGCATTAAAATCCTGCCACCATGTTTTTACTGCCCCCCCCCCCCCCCATTCACCCTCCTCAGAGACAGTGGTTGCAGTGTACACATTGCGCATCCGTGGCAGAAATTGTACCTCTGCTGAGCGCAACCCACTCAAGTGAATGCAAGCAATGATGTAATGCAGTGTTTAGCCACTTGCCTACCAGGCACTTATACCCCCTTATTTACCAGGCCAATTTTCAGCTTTCAGCGCTGCCGCACTTTGATTGACAATTGCACAGTCATGCAACATTGTACCCATATGAAATTTTGATCATTTTTTTCTCACAAATAGAGCTTTCTTTTGGTGGTATTTAATCACCACTGGGCGCTTTACTTTTTGCGCTATAAATAAAAAAGTGCAAAAAATTTGAAAAAAAAAAAAAGTTTCTTTGTTTCTATTATAAAATTTTTCAAACAGGCATTTTTTCTCCTTCACTGATGTGCGTTGATGAGGCAGCACTGATGGGCACTGATAGGCGGCACTGATGGGCACTGATAGGCAGCACTAAAGGGAACTGATAGGCAGTACTAATGAGGTGGCACGGATAGGCGGCACTGATAGACAGCACTAATGAGTGTCACGGATAGGCGGCACTAATATGCAGCACTGATAGGCGGCACTGATAGGTGACACTGATGATGGGTACTGATAGACGGCACTGACTGGCATCACTGCTGGCACTGACTGGCGGCACTGACTGGCACAACCCCTGGGCACTGACTGGTGCACTGACTGGCAGCACTGCTGGGCTGCACTGGTGGGTGGCACTGGTGGGCAGCACTGGTGGGTGGGCACAGGTGGGTGGCACAGGTGGGTGGCACTGGTGGGCACAGGTGGGTGGGCACAGGTGGGTGGCACTGCTGGGCACATGTAGGTGGCACTTCTGGGCACAGGTAGGTGGCACTGCAGAGTGGCACAGGTGGGTGCACTGCTGGGCACAGGTGGGTGATCTGCTGGACACAGGTGGGCGGAGATAGTGGGCGCACTGCTGGGCACAGGTGGGCGGAACTTGCGGGTGGCACTGCTGGGCACCGATCATCAGGGCACTGATCATCAGTGCCCTGATGATCGGTGCCGATCCCCGCTCTGACAACTGCCGGTTCTCGGCAGTACTTTCCTCACGATCTGACAGCGTGAGGAAAGTGCAGCCGAGAACCGGCACTTGCATTTCCTTCTGATCAGCGTGTCATTGGACACCGCTGATCAGGTGGTAAAAGGACGCTGTGATTGGCCTTTTACCACATCACGTGATCAGCTGTGTCCGTAGGACACAGCGATCACGGAGATCGCCGGGTGCGCGCCCCCTGGGGCGTGCAGGAGAGCGCGTTCTGGGGGGACGTCATATGACGTCCACTCAGAACTGGCCAGCCGCAGTGAAGCCGTCATTCGGCTATCTGTGGTCGGCAGGTAGTTAATAGATTAAATCAGGAGGTTAGGAGGCTCTCTGAAGAAAGATCACTCTTCAGAGAGCAAAGCAAGTGTGAGAGCCCATAAGGCTTGTTTAGATGGGCTTTGAAATTTTAGATGCCAAAGACATAGATGTCTATGCAAATCGCACCAAAAGTAGTGCATGTACTACTTTAGAAATTGGTGTAGCTCCGGCCAAGTTGGAACCACACTGATTTGACTGCTGTAATTGCGGACAATAGGGTGCGACATGGTATACGATTTGCAAGTCGCAAATCACATGCCAAGTCGCACACAATGTGACCGGGGTGTCATGCTGCATGAAATATTGTTTTGTTAATCTATTCCCTTCCCTTTCCAGCGGCCCTGTAATGTAATGTCAGGAGGCGGGGCAGAGTTCCCCATCACGTGATCACTGTAATTGGTTGTCATAGTGGTCACATATTCGAGAGCCTGTCCTACGAGCTCCCAATCATTAACAGAGAATGGGAAACCTTGGCCCACATGGACACATATATGTGGGCCCAGGGGCATCCCTAGGCAGATGCGGGGGGTGCGCGCAGCACCGGGTGACACCTTTTGCACGGGGTGACACTGGACCCGCTCCACCAGGGGCAGACTGACCATTCGGGCACTGCTCGAGGGCCCAGGGTCACTACAGGGCCCCATGAGAGGCACAGTCCATCCCTGTATGTGCCACTGCTGAAATAGGAAAGCATCGAGGGGACGGACAGTGAGGCAGGCACTTCGGACACCTCTCCTCCTCGGAGTTTCAGCAGAGGGGCGGGTCCACATCCCTGCCACGGGTGCTGAAGTCGGAGAGCTGGAGGGGCAGGCAGAGTATGCATCAGGTCAGTGTGTAATCCCCCGACCCTGGTGACAGCACTGCAGCTTCATGTAGTAGGTATGGAGGGGGGGAAGAGGGCAATGAGAGAGGGAAGAGAGAGAGGGAGGGAAGAGAGACAGAGGAGAAGAGAGAGATAGAGAGGGAAGAGAGAGAGAGGGGGGAGAGAGAGAGAGAGAAGAGAAGAGAGAGAAAGTAGAGAGAGAGAGAGAGAGAATGCGGAGAGAGAGAGGGGGGCTTGCTTTAAAACGTACCTTTTCGTGGAGCTCATGGAGAGATCAGTTAACCCTGTATAGGTTGCAAGCCGACGATCCCCGCAGGATGGATCGGATCTGTGGATTGGGGAGGATAATGGATCGGACTCCTATCCATTATGCTCAATCCGCAGATCGGATCCATCCTGCGGGGATTGTTGGAGGGGGTGTCACCAAGTGTTCCAGGACACCTCTGTGTGGGCCCTCAAGGCTGCCAAGGGATTAAAATGGAACTTTACTAAAAAGATAAAGACCTGCAAACAGGAAGCCTTTTACATACCGAAGAGACATATTATGCCTATTCTGTATTAAAGTATTCCTACCTACCTGCTTGCGGTGTACACTGAACTGTGCATGTGAAGCTCAGTGTACAATCTGGTTATCTGCCAAACTGAATAGACTTCCACGCATGCGCAGGAGTGGCCCAATCAATCAAAATAGCTTAAGATTGAAACCTTGAAGAGATGAGCCAAAGATGTCAGTGACCAGCAGGGGGCCCCCAGGATACCACATTGCTGGTGGAGGTGAGTATATTTCTGCTTTAACATTCAAAAAGGAAAAAAATATATAAATACTGCGATGTATTGTTACATCAGATCACACTGCTCTTACAACAATGCACACCACTTTATATAGACCTGCAAGATAGTTCAAGCCTTAATTTGTCATAATTGTGATGATTATGGCTTACAGCTCATGAAAACCCCAAATCCACAATCTCAGAAAATTAGAATATTGTGAAAAGGTGCAATATTCTCAGCTCAAGTGTCCCACTCTAATAAGCTAATTAAGCCATAACACCTGCAAAGGGTTCCTGAGCCTTTCAATGGTCTCTCAGTCTGGTTCAGTAGGAATCACAATCATGGGAAAGACTGCTGACCTGACAGTTGTGAAGAAAACCATCATTGACACCCTCCATAAGGGGAGAGAAAGCCTCAAAAGGTAATTGCAAAAGAAGTTGGATGTTCCCAAAGTGCTGTATCAAAGCACATTAATAGAAAGTTATGTGGAAGGGAAAAGTGTGAAAGAAACAGGTGCACAAGCAGCAGGGATGACCGCAACCTGGAGAGAATTGTCAGGAAAAGGCCATTCAAAAGTGTTGGGGACTTTCACAAGGAGTGGACTGAGGCTGGAGTCAGTGCATCAAAAGCCACCACACACAGACGGATCCTGGACATGGGCTTCAAATGTCGTATTCCTCTTGTCAAGCCACTCCTGAACAAACAACGCCAGAAGCGTCTTACCTGGGGTAAAGAAAAACAGACCTGGTCTGTTGCTCAGTGGTCCAAAGTCCTCTTTTCTGATGACAGCAACTTTTGCATCTCATTTGGAAACCAAGGACCCAGAGTATGGAGGAAGAATGGAGAGGCACACACTGCAAGATGCTTGAAGTCCAGTGTGAAGTTTCCACAGTCTGTGTTAACTTGAGGAGCCATGTCATCTGCTGGTGTTGGTCCACTGTGCTTCATTAAGTCCAGGGTCAACGCAGCCGTCTACTAGGAGATTTTGGAGCACTTCATGCTTCCTTCCGCAGACGAGCTTTATGGGGATGCTGACTTCATTTTCCATCAGGACTTGGCACCTGCCCACACTGCCAAAAGCACCAAAACCTGGTTCAATGACCGTGGGATTACTGTGCTTGATTGACCAGCAAACTCGCCTGACCTGAACCCCATAGATAATCTATGGGGCATTGCCAAGAGAAAGATGAGAGACATGAGACCGATCAATGCAGAAGAGCTGAAGGCCCCTATTGAAGCATCCCGGTCTTCCATAACACCTCAGCAGTGCCACAGGCTGATAGCTTCCATGCCACGCCACATTGAGGCAGTAATTGCTGCAAAAGGGGCCTAAACCAAGTACTGAGTACATATGCATGCATATACTTATCAGAGGTCCGATATTGTTCTATGTACAATCCTTGTTTTATTGATTGAATGTAATCTTCTAATTTTCAGAGATTGTGGATTTGGGGTTTTCAGGAGCTGTAAGCCATAATCATCACAATTATGACAAATCACAGCTTGAACTATCTTGCTTTGCATGTAATGAGTCTATCTCACCTTTTAAGTTGTATTACTGAAATAAATGAAATATTCTAATTTTTCGAGTTTCACCTGTATATACTATGGCATGAAAAATTATTTTGTTTTTGCAGAGTCTGGTGCTTCTCATTTGAATAATGTATAAGGCCTATTCAGCTTCCTTTTCCCCTTTTTTTTCCCAGCTGTTTTGTAGTGTGAAACAAAGATTTGCTGCAATTAGGAAGGGGTATTGGGCTCTCACTAAGCACTCCCTTTAAAACATATGTGGAAATATTCTCCTGTCTGTGTCTTATAATTAGGAACGTATTTGTGGACCATTAATGCCATAATTGCAGGCTTAAGATATTATCGATTGCTGAATAAAAATAATAAAAATTGCAACAAAAATATTAAATATATGAGCAAATAATTTCTCAATTTAAAAAAGCAGTTTTTTTTGTATAATTTGTGTTATGTTAGAAATGATGGTAGGTAATGCTAAACAGGAACAGGAAGTCAGCTTTTAGACATATTTAATGTCATTCATGTCGTTGGCATTAATGGATTTCTCAAAAATATCCATAGTGCTTGAGCAGCTTATGATGACTGATTTTCTGCCTCAGTTGATCTAAAAAAAGCGTCGTGATAGAATAAAACCTGACCCTGAACACTTTTCATTGTGCGTTCAATCTGACCTTTCTCAGCTATTTTAATACAGAGGAACCCTTAAAATAATTTTTTATGTGCTGGGGAACCCCCACTAAATTATTACATCCCTAGCTCATGACACATTTGCATGGTCAGTAGGTTGTAAATATAATAATGCATAAAACACTCAAGCTTGTAGTGTATCTAGCATAACCTACAACTAGAACAGATTATTTTTTGACATTACCCTGTTCTGTAAGAAAAAAATGTGTCAGTAACAATTATGAAATGGAACAAACAATAATAATGGGAAAAGTGCCTTCTTATATTGGTAGTCAGTGTAGTGATCTCATACATTGGTGGCCAATGGGAGAAGGAATCCTTATATTAATGGTCAGTGGGACAAGGACAATCTTACATTGTTGACCAGTGGGAAAATTGCCCCTTACACACAGCTAAAAAGATAATTGAGACCAGTGGTTACTGGGAGTTAGAAACTCTTCATTGCTCAAGGAACCCCTAGCAAACTCTGGAGGAACCCTGGTTGGGAACCCTAGTCTAATCTGTTGCAGACCTATGGAAGTTTGTTGCAGTTTGCTGTCCAAGATTACAGTAGGAAGGGTCACAAATACAAACGTCCATAGACTTTGGTAACTTGACAAGTAGCCTGAATAGCATCTACAATTGCATCTACATTCGTTGCTAATTTGCTTGATGAATGTCCTTCTATAGACCATAAATAATTGCCATTTTTTCATGAAATACTATTTTCACCTTTTTTTTCATCATTTTCTGCATCTCAGTGCTGCTAATCTGCTTGTGAGCGGGGTCTACTATTCCCATGCACGTGGGGTAACACCTCACCTGAAGGCATGCTCACCAAGGCCTGGGACCAGGCGGAGACTACGGTTATGTGAAGAATCCAACATTAAGACAGTCCCCGACTCAGAGATGAGCCACTTGTGTGCAGCAATATTGAACAGAGATCCTC